GTAACAGTTCGATAGTGGTGCCTATATTATTTGTTATATTAATAATATACTCACATACCATCGGTTTCTTTCGAGCAAATAATTTTTTAATAATTTCATAAGAAATTAATATGTGCCCCCTTGTTACAAGTAGTGTCTTAGATAATTTCAAGATTGCATCTAAATCAAACACCATTTTAATTAGTATTTAATACTCAATATTTAATTTTTCATTCTTTATTTAAACCCACGGTATACTACATGGACAAAAAAATAAATATTTAATAAGTTATATATATGTATAAACACGATTTAAACCCAATTTATTAACTAATTAGTTCGGTTGAAAAAATATTTAAAAAAATGTTAAGTAAGCTAACTTGTTAACTGGTTAATTGCTGCCTTTATTATTGTCTATTGAGTACAAGTACAGGCACGCCAATTGCTACGAACATCGTAATAACTATTAGCTGTATAATAATGACCTAAAATGAATTTTGAAAGCCGCGTAGAGGAAGTTATTATGACATAGGTGCCTATACTACCTAGTAGTTTAATCTTATAATTTACGAAAGAAACTTTATTCTCTCAGCTAGATGTATACTGTCGTTAGTATAACAACTTCTTCCGTTTCTGAAGCCTGATAACCAATGCGCTTTAAATTGAATTAACTGACACTAATAACTAAAATAATTAATTCACAAATTTCGATAAAAAATAGGTCGAACTTGTCTGAAACAAATTTTCCCAGGCTTATAGAATAGTCAGAATTTTTCGAAAACTCATGTCAAATGTATTTATTTATAATTTGATGAACCACTTAACTAAAGCAAACATTCCAGCCCAAACTAAAAATCTCTTTGGTCTTTCATTTTTTTTATCACAACAAAAAACCGTAGTACGACCATACCAAATAACTTAATTGAAAAATTCAGCCACTAAATTATATTTTTCGTTAACCACTGGGAATTTACAAAATGTATCTATTCTATTTATAAAACTCTTAGAGCATATCTTAAATTCAAATTCATAAAACAAATAGCTTTCTAGAAAACAATAATCTATGCATAACCACTCAAAATAGAAAAAACTGTAACACGATTATGTATGAATAACTTCTTTTTTATTTCATGAAAATTATTGAATATTAAATCTTAAGTACTATATCTAGAACTACACATTTGATGACTGCATAATATATTTATTATCCGCAGTTAAGTGTTTATGCTATACAAGTAGATTTAGTTAACAAACACAAAGAGTTAATCTTGTTGAATATAATTATCAAATTTGTAACCCGCTTTACATGATTATATTTTTAAGTGACGTGTAGAAAATGTCTATTATTTGATTTGAAGATGTATATTATGTTTAAGTATATTATACCTGACTAATTTACAAGTAACTGAAAATAGTTTAAATAAAAGATAAGATTCAATTCTTATTTAAATAATAAGCAGGATTAGCTGGATTAGGTTATTTATGATTTTCCTTGTTGTTTTAGATAATCTTGAATTCCTGCTATATATAATAAGTATAGTACCTAATGCTTGCGTTTAGAAAATTAAAATGGACGAATTTGTTTTTTTTTATTTTGCGAAACAATGTGTTTGTACAGATTTAGATTAGGTATGCAGGTTGCCAGTCGATATTGGTAAAAATGAATAATGTTATTTGTATTTTATTTCTTATTAAAACTCAAAAGTGTATACTTCATATGTGTTTTACATTACTTAACTGGTTTATCATGATGGTATTTTTATAAACATTTTTTTTACACATTGTTTTTTAATTTTTTATACTTTAATTTTAAACATATATTTTAATTATTGTTTTTATTTATATGTATATATTCCCAATGTAATGAACACGTATTTAATTTTAATCTCTCGATATTAAAAGACAAATGATTTAATAGTGCTTAGCTTATTAATGTTAAACTGTAGAAGATGTGCATAATTTAAGAAATCTTAAACGTTAATCCATGTATAATGTTTTTGAATATCAGATGATAGACTGCAACAGAGTATAATCATCATACACATATAAATAACTACAATAATGGTATGATTAGTGATCGGATTAAAAGTTACAGTATTTTATGTTTTATTTACAGCTTTATATACTATATTAAGATGCGAACACAGAAAGACATCAACCACTACTGCCACTAATGACAGATAATAACTAGAAATTTCAATTTCATCGATGTACTGCAAACTGCAGAGTACTAGGCGTATACAGTATTCAAGTACACTTCTATGTACTGCATCAATAGGGAGTTAAGTATCATAAAAAGCTTAATAACTGAATGTTGACGAAGGAAACTATTTGTGTACACAAATGACGATTTATTAAATACATCCCATAATGGCATAACATGTCGACTTGTATAATCCGGAAAGCTGTTACCAACTGAAAAGAGAACGGTACTAATTCTAAGCCAAATTCTCTATTCAAATGTTTTACACATATTATAATTTATTAATGTGTCATGTGCCTTTTGAGTGAATAGGTATACCCCAATATGAGAACTTGCTACACGCGGCTTCGCGGGTCCCGCCCGAATAATCATTTTGGAAATACTATAAACTCCCCATCGGCAACAGCAACAGCTGAACGTAAGTTTAAGTTTTCGTCAACTGCGTAAGAACAGAATAGACCTGTATAATATATACCTATTGAAGAAAGGCTCCGACTCGGTGGCACTGTAGTTCAGTCAAATTTCGAATGTGGTTATCAAAACGGTCATTATAAACCGTTATCGTGTCCAGTTTGCAAGAGACGGACGGCCGACAGCGGTTTTTGTTTGTTACAATGCATAACGACCTGGAATATTAGCCACTTGTGTCGGTACACCGGTAAAGGGATACCGGAAGTCAGTTGCATAGAAGTTTTGTACCGAGAAAGGGGTAAATTGTACCCGTGTAATAGTTTGCGTTCAAAAGTTGATGTTAACCTATAATAAAGTTTCCCGGCGACACATGTGCTATTGATGAGGCACGTAATGTCACGCTTGTTAGTGGACGCCCTTCCACACCGTTCACGTCGCTATATATACCGGTTCACCCTTCAATCTCGTTACCGGAAACTTTTACACAAAACAGCAAGATTATCTGTGAACTCCTACGACACGCGTTTTCTCCGACAAACCACTAAACTCTATACAGGTACGACAGACTATACGTTCGAAAAAAAAAAGTGCAAAACCTGTACAAGCGGTGCACATATTGATGTTGTTTGTATAATATCACTCCACGTATATCGTTGTTATATAATTTTTTTTTCTGTTATGCAGTGGGATGTGTGAACAAATCAAACCCTTTATAACCGCTCTCTGCTTCTCGTGTTTACTAGTTATTATATTGGATAAAGCATGAACGCATAGGTTCTGTAGTTTTGTTTGGACTCGTTTTTTATTCAATAATATTTCATAACTATCGGAAAATTGCTCACAGATTTTCACGCGAAGTAAACAATTTTAAATAACAAATATAATATTTATAACCCTATTAACATTTAAGTAATAACTAAAATAGAAAAATGTATATATAGTTATCTGCAGTTAAATATTATGTTTATTGTTTTTTATTCCGATGATATATATCATAAATATTAAATATATATATATATGGTACTAATGTATGAAACAAACCATATCAGACATTAACCATCTAAATATTCAGTTTTGTGTTTACTGCAGAAATATCTATATAGTTATATAATAATATCGAGTTTTGAACAGGTACCTAAACTTATAACAAAATACGTAAATACAATTTTAAATATAACTGTCGAATCAGTGTACTGAAATCATTATCATGTCATAAAAATGTATATCTACGTATTTGTTTAGCACGTGAAATAAATCAAAACAATTTGTTTTTCGAAATGTTCGTTAAGAATTTTTACACTGCGCTGAATGCCTGCAATCAAGAACATATTATCTTAACTCAATCCCAGTACGGAATACATAATAGTGTACTAGGCATATCAATTTGTCTTGCAATCACTAAACGTTAAAATACTTCTACATTATAATATCATGATACTGAAACCCGATGTAATGTGATGCGATACTGTCGCCCGAAAAGTGATTGCAAAATAACAAGAATCACGTAGCGCGTATAAAGTGTATATAAACAAGTGGGTAACTAGCAACAGTTATCTAAACAGCACATAATATTATAACAAACGTTATACAACGACGACACATCAATACCCATGTGCATATAATAATATGCTAAAACCACGCGGTACGTTATTTTAACGACGACATTCAAATTATCGGTGTACAGGCATTAGGTACCTGTATGGCTGTATAGTGTATACCATTGATACCATTGTATACCAACGATATCAAGACCATAACCAAAACTACAGCGGACACCGCGGATAAGTTTTTCGACTGTGAAACCATATCGATCGTTTTGTCAATACTTTACTGCTCGTTATGCCTAGAGACCGACGACACAACGGCTTTCTACTGGAGTATTTCGCGGGCGGGGTCGGTCTTTATAATATTATTATTATATATCATAAATACACATAACATTACCCCGTCTAGTCTGTACACACACTCCGTGACTATTATTATCTGTCCACAGTATTATTATACGTTCACTTCCGATATCTTGGTCACCTCCTTCGAGTGCCTGTATTATTATTGAGTTTGTTAACTGCTGCAGATGACATAGGTATGTGAAGACGAAAACCCGTATCCTGCAGTGGCATAATAATTTCGAGGTGACCGCGGTTTAGGTATACGGTATAAGCTGCAGTCACTGGACGTCTCAGCGCGTTAACCAGTGGGTAGGTACTTACCCCCCTTCCTTTCACAAAAAAAAATTCGCGTTCAAAATGGGCGGTGGACATGATATTAAGAGTATATCATACAAACGATATCTGTGCCAACGCTTAAAGTCGCGGAATGCACGTCACCGTAGACCGCCGACCAATTTAATAATGACTGCGAGGCGATACGAAAATAATTAAATACTTAAAACAAAAAGTGCACTTACTTCTGATCATCCTGCCGTCTTCGGAGACCGCACCGGAACTCGGAGTGTCCCTGTCCGAGCACTCGTCCTTGTGCTGCTGGTGCATCGTCGCAGCGGCGCTGGACGACGGCGGAGACACGGGCATGTTGCCCGGTGAACAAGGACTCCTCCTGGGCGGATACGGAAACGACGGTGGTACCGGTTGTTGTTGTTGTTGTTGTTGTTGTTGTTGTTGCTGCTGCTGTTGCTGGAGTTGATGCTGCTGTTGTTGATGATGCTGTTGGTGCGAACCCGACTGCTGTTGCTGCTGCTGCTGTTGTTGTTGTTGTTGCGCCGCTCCTTCGGCGTGCGATGTCTGTTTGTCGTCCATCTTGTAGCATTTGGACGGAGGCGCGAACGCCGAAGTGAACCCCTTGAGGCTGGCCGCGGCCGCGGCGGCCGCGTGATGCGAATGGTGTTGGTGGTGCGGGTGTTGGTGGTGCGGACTCGGCGAGCCGAGCGGTTGGAACACGCCCGCCGGCGAAAACGACACCCGCGGGTCCAGCGCCGGGTGCAAGAACGGTGGCTGCAGATGGTGCAGCAGGTGCGCGGGAAGCGCCGGATAGTTCTCCATGAACCGCATATTGAACGGGATGTGTAGGTGCTTGAGGTCGTGCATCTGTCGACACACATAACAACAAAACGTAATCGTGACGGCAGGTACAGTGATTTGACATTTGCATATTATTTCAAAGTTGCGAAAAACGCCACAGCCAAAACAATGTATATGGGTGGGTCACGTCATACACAAACGAAGTAATATTATCATCTAATATATTGAAAGTAAACAACCATTATTTTGTAAAGTATATCACACAAAATAATTTGGAAATGTTCGTGATTTTGACGAATTTTATCGAATTTCTAAATTACTTACCAACTGTTTTTTTAGTACCCTAATAAACACTTATGAAAAGCCTTATATTAAATTTACAAGTTTTTTGACAGAGAAAAATATTGATAGTAATAATTTAACAATAATATTTTATCGATAATAATTTTTAAAAAAAAATTGTTTCATGCATAGTATATATAAATAGCTCAAACAGAGTCAAAATATTTTAAATGTGTGAAAAATGGTCGGTCAAGTATTTGATGAAAATTTAAATAGCTACGATTATTTGATGTTGAGGTACAACAACAAAATTTAACTCATTTCAATATCGAAGGGCTCTTTGGAAAATCAGACCACTACATTTTCGAAAAATATTCAGGAATCAAAATTGTATACCTACCTGGAGCTTTGTGGTTTTTAAAAATAAAATCAAAAACCAGAAAGCTCCAAATATATGTTATATTGTATGTACTCTGATGGGAATTATCTCAAAAAAACTCAAACTTATCGACATTTTTTTTCAGAAATTAAATATTTTAAAATGTTTTCAAATTATATAATTGTCTGGTTTTTGCACATGACCAATCTAGTTTTTTCTTATTTTTATTTTTGGTTTTCCCTACATTTTCGAACATTTTTTAATTTTAATCTTTTAAAGTTTAACTGTATTTAATTTTACAGTAAAAAATATGGGGAAGTAGAAAATTGAAGCATTTAACTGCCACGAAAAGAAAAATTGATTATTACTGACATTAAACGAAAACGCACATCATTGAAAAATCAATAAATTCATTGTCTCGCTAAGAATCTAAAATATACAGTTGGATATGGTGATATAGATGTTAATGACAATGTATAAATGATAATATTATAATGTAATAGCTATAGTCCAGATTCTTTTAAAACATCTAAAATATGATGCTAACATTCTCTAAAAACGTACAAATAGTGTCCTTATATTCTCTTAAAAGTTAGAGAAATAATAAATAGACCTAACTAAATATTTTATATGCTTTAATGTGCTTGAACATGCAACTACTTTTATTATTTTTTTTTTTTGCAATAGCGAGATATTAACTTGCGTAATAGAATAATTGCACTATAGTAACAGTTAAAGTAATGTCTTTTGTGTTGAACAGTTTTTCAATTGTTCTTTTTTTATTATTTACCTTAAAAACTTGAAAATACGTGATCGAGAAAAACAAACATTTGGACTTTAACCTAATCAAAAGATTAGAAACACGGACATGCCATCCCTCAGAATAATATACATAATAGATATTCTAAATAAAATAGTATAAAAAGCCAAATAGTGATTAAACAGACTTCGTACACAATTTTTTTTAATGGTCACAAATTTTAAGTAAAAATGTCAAGATACCATCTAACGAGTGTCCCTATACAAAAAAATTAAGTTCGTTAAAGGTTAAAAAATTACGTAACTTTTTTTAATTACCATTATCAATTTATATGAGCAAATATTAAAACCTAATCAATTCCTCCTCTCTACTCAGATTATTTTACAATCCTATGTCACAGCAACAACTACATAACTATAGAATAATTGCTACTAGACATGACAAAATAACTTTTATATTTGTAAAAGGTTAGACTAACGCAAAAGTCATCTAGTAACTTCAGGTAAAAAACTCCAAACACAATATAATAAAAAATCATTCCCTCATATCACAGGCAGTGTATTCTAAAGTGCTTATAAAAATACAAAATGTATAACTATTTATAACCTAAATGAAAAATTTGAGCTTCAAGCACGTAAAATCATCATAAATTAGTATTTACCACCCAATGTCCATTTCACCAGAAATCAGTATCTAACTTTACCAAATCCTTAAGAAATCTACTTCTCCAAAACTTTATGACGATTATTACAAATAGCTCAAGCAACTCCATACTCAGATGCATTGATAATAAAGCAAAGAGTCGGAGCAGCAATCATATGTGAGACATACAAATTCAACTAAAATTATTAAATAAATGCTGAATGTATACCACGAAGAAGCATTTTAACAATACTAATTATATTATAATACTAATCAAATATACAATTATTCAGTGGAAGACAATCGAGTCATTTTCAACGACTCCCTTGTCGCATTGACCAGTATTCACAACACTCACTACCAAACCGATATTGCATGAAATATCAATAATAACAGTTAGATATTTCAATCAATATACCTCTTTAGCTTGAATTCCAGGACCCAGAAATATCGCTGGCTGACCGCTAGAGCCGCTTAACTAGCTTATGTCTCCTCCACAGCTATTTTTATACTTGGTTACTTTACTTAGACTTTAAAAAAGTTATACAAAGTTATAAGCTCTAGTGGTCTAAGTGGTTAAAACTATAAATACCAAACCAAACCAAATAAAAAGATCATTCATTCCCTTGCCTTCCTATAATGGCCTCTGCAAAAGACAAGAAAAAATAATCAACCTATTCAGAATAAAACACACAAACTCAAGCGGATAAGATACCTTATCTCAGCGGACAATCCAACCTTCTGAAACACATGTGGCGAACAACTTACGGAAAAATACGTATTAACTGGATGCCGTACTCTCCAGAAATAATCGGACGAAACTATTTCCTCTACCCACCTCCAAGTAAATTTTAGTCCAGACCATACAGCCTCAATCTAGTTATTGAAATATGTTAAGCTTTCTAATCTGTACTCTGTACTATAGCAAATAAAATGCAATGTAATTTACATCCAATTGCTTAAACCAACAATATATTTTTTTTAACTACAATGGCCGCGGCTATTGTCAATGCATTTAATAAAAAATAAATAATATATGCACAAACAATATTTTTTTATGTTGTGCACTTAAGCATTAGGATCTGATCTAATCTATGACAAACATAACTGATTATGCTACTATAGTAAATATAATATTATGGTATATAGTATATACTATATAGTTGTAATTGTTCATGTTTAACTGCATATCGTATTCTAAGAATCACACGCTAAATTTAATTATGTAATAAGCATAGGTATTATTTACTATTCAATAGTCCGTTAAATTCAATAAAAAATATTAAGTGTACACTTACAGTTTTTGTGTGTCTAAAGATGTGTTAAATTCAAAATGTTCACACAAAAAACCAAATATTTGTACCAGAAAATTGAATTCTAAAATTAAATTGACGTATTCGTGATTTAATATTTGCAATTAATTGTATATTAATCATAAAGAGTTATATAATTGTATTAAGCCATTCACCAATATGATTATTATTTATTTAGTATTATATAATTGTATACGTACATATATACTCATAGAACAATTCATTTAAAGTGCTTAATTGCAACAATACTAATTAGTTTAGTATAATCATAATATTATATTATACAACACAGATCAAATATCCGAATAATCAAAGAACACAGATCAGATATTCTATACTTAATGTTCGTTGATTATTGCCAGTGACCTACACACGTGTTCGGAATTGGATTTAACTTTTAGTATCAATACATTATTAATGACAATTTGCATTGTAATACTTTTGATATAACTTCTGCCGATGTATCGATTCATTACGATGAACATTTGAAATTTAAATTCTGTCATCTTGTACACAATTTTATTACTAGGTTTTTTATACTGACCATCAGCCACAAAACTATTATTAGCTACTATAACACGCAAACAAGCTATGTTTTATGCAAGCATTTTATTAATCAGCTACAAATTACGAAGATATTAAATTATAAAGATAAAATTTAATGTCATTTATACTATTTATCGACACTAACTCAACCTTATAAAATCTATAAGGTTTTATTTTTACTATTAATTTATAAACGTAATTTGTCCATAAATATTGTAATCAAATCCGAAAACAATCATTGTGTATTGTCAATTTAAATGAAAATACTATTATTATAAGTAATACAAAATGCAATTATCTTAATGACACTAACATGAGGTCAAACGAGCATTCAACAATGTATTAGAACAATTTTCAAAACAATAATTTATGTAAATTATTAATATAATTTAATTGGCTCAAAACTCGTAAGTAAATCTACCTACTATTTTACATTTTAATTGTCAATTAATATTTTTATATTTGATAAAGGATAAATGCACCACTAGTGTCATACATACAGTGCCTATTTCGTGGAAACTATCAACGTATATGGTTACTTTAGTCAAACGCATAGAGGGTGGCGGGTCATATGCAGTGGACAAGATTGATTACCGCGAATATTGTGTAGAATAACGAGAAGGAAGATGTTGTGCCAGTGATAACAACGGCGAAAGTGAACGAAGTTTTAGAAAGATTTACGGATTGTCGACAAGATAAAAATGCCAGAACAAATGGCCACATACCAAACCAAATACTATTTGTATGGAAATAACACAAATGTTTACATAAAACATACATGTACATGATTGTAGCCTTGTGTAAATGGATAAATCCTTGTGGATTTGTACAGCAGTTTACTGAATACCGAAGAGGGTTGTCTCAGAGTTGCAGAAAGCCTAATATAGTTTTATAGATTATATCATAATTTGTTAAATAAAAAAAACTATTTTTACCTAAAATTAATTTATCAACTCGGAGTAAATAATAACATACTTAATAATGCTGGATAGTATTTAATTATATTTTATCGTTATAAAATATTAATAATAATTATTGTAGTTGGTACACAAAACGGTTACATTACATTATCTTGCACGTTTTCGATTATATTTGTAACAACTCACTATCTAATTATGTAATGATCGATTTTAACACCATTCATTATTTAAATATTTTTTATCTTGAACACTAATCTAAAATGTTTCATAATGTGTATTAATGTATACTCTATATAATTTATCCACTTATAAGTTATATTATACTATTTTTGTAAAATTAAGTACCTATGTACCTATATAACTATTTATCAAATATTAATATTTTCGTATTATAAATATAAATTAAAACAAATAGAACGTTTTACATGTTCATAAAAAGTAAGTAGTTTAACAGCATAAAATATAATATGTTTTCATTATATTAAATTATCTTATCAAGGGTGAGGGCCCTATTAATTCTAGTGATTTGATGAGTTGAACAACATTTAGAGGTACCTAGTACCTACTTGAGAAGTTCTTGACAGTAATATTAAGTAATTTTCTCTAAAAACACCTTGACACGGTCATGATTTATAAGAATGTACACAAAAAACAATTGTAATTTATAAACAAAATTACTTTGAAAAATTTAAACTTTTTTTATAAAAATAATATTATATGAATATAAAAATTGCTTTAAACCAGTTTGTTCAATAAGTTAATTAGATTATAGTATTGTGAATGATTTGATTAAAAGTTTATTTTAAATACATTTTGAAATAACTTTAATGACCTTAGTTTGTATTCATAGAATGTTAAATGTGCAATTTTCAATACATAGCTACCTAGTACCTTTGTACATAATTTAATATTAGTTTTCATCAATCTATGAACATAAGGATTTTGATTTATATATATCATATTTTAAGTTATTATCAACTATAAATTATGTACCATAGAGAAATGCTTATTAGTTTTCCCGTGTTAGCTATATGAACAACGGTAAAATACAGTAGATTACCTATTATAATATGCTTCATTTTATGGTTTATTAATTTTACGTAAAAATAGTCCTATTAATATATGCATACGTTATGTTGATTCCTAATCATGGTTCCCTATGTAACGGTGTTGATGTTTTTAATAGAAAATATGTAGATAATTGTAAAATCATGAATGACATTTGCGTTAAGTATTATAATATTATAAAAATTTCGTAATAATCATAATGTACTGAACTATTTAACATTTTTAAAACTAAAGCAATAATTCCATAATGCTATCTTGTTAATTTTTGGGTTATAAATGTTTATTTTTTCATGTAGGTAATAATGCCATTAAACAAAATACTTCTTTTGTATCTTAGAAATTTGTTTTATGATGCTTAAATACGACATCCAACTAGTTATCAATATGTTACATAATTTTTAGATCGATTTAGAACTCGAGAAGTTCTTAAGTACTTATTTTAGAGTGGTAACATTCGCATTTATTTGAGTTTCAAAGTAAAGATAAGCTATATTATGTACACTTATGTAGTGTTGTAATTTAGTTATATTATAAAAATTATAAATTATTAGTAGAGAGCTTATGTTATCATTAATTAGTTTATAGTGAACATTTTATAATATTTACCTGACTAAATGGTCTGTGTAATCTGATATCTGGTAAGTTTGTTGGTGTTGGAAAGTTTACCAGTGATGATGATGGACTTGGACTTTGGGAATACGGTGAATGCTCCATCTAAAAATAATATTAGGGTATTAATTGTTTAATAGATAAAAGTCTATTGATGTAGTCCAATATTGGTTGAAGACTGTTTATCATATTATATATACCACCACCCACTATAATACCAGAACAAACTTCGATTTATAATATATTGTTGTATTTTATACAATGTTATGTTATCAACTGTTACTATTTATTTTATCGTTTTATCATCATAATGTTAATTTTTAGTATTTTATTATTATTTATACTTATGCCTGACACGAATATAAGTGTTTAATATTACCTTTATAAATAATGTATTTTTTATAAATTACCAATAATTTCTCATACAAATAAAGTAACTATATACGAGTATTATACATTTAAAGATCTGAAAACACAAATAGTCTTCTTTGAAATAGAAATGTCTAAGATATCGAAAAAATTATAAAAAATAATTGTGTAAATAACTAGTTACAGAGAGAATAGTGTTGTACCTAACTATTATACCATAATAAAAAGAGATTCACATTATTTGTCCCTGGCATGGTCAAGTGTGCACGGTGCACAATAGTATAATGGAAGTATGAAAAAAAAAATACAGAATAAGGCATAAGCATATCAACACTACATAGATGTGTGGTAGTTAAAATCTCAGTTTATGGTTTCATTGACTCGTAAATATATCGTGTGTATTTTTTTACAGTGCTCTAATTCCAAAAACGGAAGTGATGATGTTTTTCAAGGTGTATAAATGTTTCAGGGTCATTATTTCTGTATCAGAATCTAAACACGACATTTTATATATTGCCAACTGCAGGTCGTTAAGAGCTGTGAACCAAAAGCAACAGACAAACTAATAAGACAATATAAGAAAATATAATATCTTACTAATTTTTACTTCTATTTTATTTATTTTCTGAATTTAAATTAACTCTCCGTTGTTGTAGAGTAGTGTACATTTTGAACTCGAAAAAATTAATATAGATAGGTGTTCAATTTCATATAATTACTTATTAGAAATATACCACTTGTTCATAAGTTAAGAGGTATTATATTATATTTATTTATGAAGGAATGAAAAGGGATGAGTCAAATGTAAAGTTACTTGGGTAGGAATAGTTATAATTTGATATTGATTAAATAATTCATAACTTCAATGTCTTTCTATATCGATAAATGTTATAAACTCATATTTGACTACAATCTATAGAGTAGAAGTACCTATTAACCTATATATTATATAATGTAGACGAAATACTGATAATCGAGGTTTTCGAAATAATTCGTAAAATGGTCAAGAAGTTTCAATTTTTTAGTTATGCATCCGGTCATAAAAATATTAATTTTTGATTTTCTTAACAAACCACCTAAGAGTATACTTACATACCTATCAACTTTTACTCAGTGGGTCCTCAAGTTGTTTATTCTCTGTTTGACCACCATAATTAAAACTTGAATCAAGTGTACCAATAATATTAAAAACTCAAATTTATATATTTTACCTTATTAAACACTTCAGAGCTTAGTACGTTTTTAATTTGTATTCATAAGACTGTTTACACGTCAATGTTTATATTGATTGCATTGTCCATTAATAACTTCTGAATACTGTTAAGTATGGATACCAATGATTTACAATTAAAAATGAGTAAATAGAATTAAACATTCAAAATTCAAAATTCAAAATTCAAATATACATTTAATTTGTACAAACACCGGTAATTTTAGTATTATTATAATAATTACAAATTAGCACGTTAAATAAATTAGGCTCACCTATCTATTAACTGCAATGAGACGTTTGGGTAATATTTTAGACAATTATAAATTATAATTTTTCTTTGAAAAAAGATGAATTTTTTTCATGCAAATAATAATTATAAACAAGGGTAAATATAGATAAACAAATAAATAAGAATCAAGTATAAATTAGTCGATAGATTTAATTCATTTTAAATCTTAATTATAGTTTTTATCTAATTTGTAACTTAGACGACGTTATAGAGTATTGATATAATACTATTTTATTCATTAAAATTTAAAATTATTCTAAAAGTAATGGACACTATGTATCACAAGTGAAAGTGAAAAAAGTATTTAAGTGGACATTATGTAAAGTAAGAACTAGTAGTAAATGAATTAAAACCTGCAGTAGTTGCGTGTAGTTTTAGAATTTAAATGGATTCCAAATTTAAATATTAAATATTATCACGAATTCATTAGTGATAACCTACCTAGATGTTTTAGAACTTATTATCTCATCAAAGTAAGATAAAAAATGACTTATGTATTTCGAGTTATTCTATAAAACGGTTTATAATCTTCTATTTTGTTAAGTTTTAAATTATATGGTTATTGTTTTGTCAGTAAATAACCCAAACATATTTGCTGTACTATTAAACATATAAGTACCAAATATATATCAACAATGTATTGTATTATATTATAAATACATTGATACAAACCATTCTAAGCCGATAGTACCCACTAAAAGATAGTTGGATTGTGTTAATCATAATTTATTTTTATAATTTATATATACTATTAATAATAATTATTGTGACTTAATTATATTTATATACTATATTAATTACTTATTTAAATGTTATTTTTGTGTTTCTCCTTAATTTGATTTTTATGGACAAACACTTGTTTTTTATATCAGTTATAAGCAAATTTATTTTATTTTACAATTATTATTTAGGGTTTTTTAAACAACATGTGCAAGTGCAATTTATTATTTAATATACTAAATAAAAAAATTATAATGTTACCATAATTGTAAAAATATTTGCCAATACCAACATATTTTACTAACATTATTTTTGTTGGCTTCAAACATATTTATCACCCCAATAAAACAGTTAACTATTGATAATCATATTAACAAACAAAATAAAAAAGTATTATTTTATTGTAGGTAGGTACCTAAAAAAAAATTTAAAAATTGTAGAAAACGCATTTACACCTGAAAGCATAATACAATTAGGTGCTGTTAAGAAAGTATGAATTTCTAAACAATGATTTATATGGGTGCGAAATTTAAAAAAAAAAATCATCTAAACTGAACATAATTTATATTTTATTTGTCTCAAGTTCACATTTGGGTCTTTTGTGATTACCCTGATTATGACATTCTCAGAATAAAAATGCATTATCTTAATCATACAATTTCATAATATTTATAAAATATGAACGCGTTTGAAAAAAATGTAGAATTTCAAATTTTAACCGATTGTTTTTTCTTTTTTACCTTGGCGTGTGAATTACTACGTTGAAATGGTGAAGGCGGAGTAGGCGACGTCGGTGGCGACAACGGCTGCAGCGTGTAGCCGTTTCGGGATTTCCCTAACGGGAAACCGCGATCGGATAAAAATTTAAATTGAAAAAAAAATAACTCTAATGGTAATAAAAATATGATATTATTTCACTGCCGTGAGGATTTACGGTTTCGTCGGCGGTATTTTTCTTTTTGAAAAAAATCCCAAACGATAAGGCACCGGGCCGACGTATGGTTCGCATGTGTAAATTATGTATACCGTCGTGTTGTTGATTTTTTTAAAAAAATATTATTAATATTATAAGTGAACAATATTATGCGCACGGCCGGGCCGGCAACGCGTGGTCACGTGTGGAGAACACGAAACGGCTGCAGTTGCACCGGGGACGGATATCAAACGCGTACTGAGTGCATAGCCGACGGCGGCGGCGGTCTTCGTCGCGTTATCACGAAACTCGCGCGCGGAAATGAGCCGTCGTCGTAGTAGTAAGCAGCTTCGGCGGCGGCGGCGGCGGCAGCAGCAGCAGTAGTAGTAGTAGTAGTACTGTTGTAGTAGTACTGTAGTAGTAGTAGTAGTAGTACTGTGTAGTAGTAGTAGTAGTAGTAGTAGTAGTGGTGAGCAGTAAGTAGTAGTAGTAGTAGTAGTGCGTATGCGCGTAAAACGGGCGGCGGTGACGGCGGTGGTTGTGTGCGAGCGAGACGGTCGGCGAGCGGAAAAGCGCTCGTGGCGCGGCGATACGCGGACGTGAGAAGTGAGACGGAGAAGCAGACGGTGGACGGGCGGCGGCGACGGCAGCGGCGACCACTACACCGGTCGCGACGTGTATACATGTTACACTGACGCACGCACGCGCACTCTCGGCCCGTCGCGACGTCTCGCCCAGGCGTTATGCGCGCGAACCGAAACGGGGGGGCGGCCGTGCCGGAGTGTCCGCCGGCCAGTCCCACACCGTCGAGTCCACCCGCCCACAGGCCGCCGGCGCGCTCTCGCATTCGCCGCCGTCTCTGCGCGCGGTTTGCGCATTTCCGCCGCCGCCGCCGCCGGTACGCAGGTGATCGGCGGCGGAAGCTGTCGACGACGGCGACGTTATTCCTGTTCCGCCGACACGTATCATAATACCGATACCGGGTTTGTGGAATACACGAGGGTGTATTGTACCTGTACACTGTCATGGGCCTCAGTGGTTTTTTTATTTTTAAATGTCTTCTTTTTGTTTGGGGGGGGGGGGGGAGGGGGACGAAAACCAACGCGTTTGACGACGTGAAGAAGTCACGTGCACGCGACCGCGAATTCCAAAACTCTCGAGAGGGTGATGTTAATAATATCATTATTGTATGATGTATTATGATTGCACACGATGCAATATTTTTGACGTGCATGCGAGCCAGTGCGCGGTCTATAATATTAGCCTATGTTTTAAAACAACTAAGTAGTGCACAGCGATTTTTGGTGTTGCGCATTTTCGTCATTTTAGACCAAGTAACAATTTACTACCGAACTAGCCATATTTTATGCGTATAATAATGATTGTAAAGTAGTAATATTATGAATTACGCAGGCAATGTAGTCGTGACGGGATGCTGTAGCAAGTAACGTTTCCGAGAAAACTCAAACACTATTCACACCGTGCACTGCAGTTACATAAATTATAATAATATGTAACTTGCAGCCTGATGTCGTCCGTGTGACGTCGAAAAAGCAAAGCGTATGTTTCGTACATGTACACACTAATATTAATATATTATACATACCTACCTACGATGTTAACGTGCCTACATTTACGTTTTTATTTACGGGCTTGCAATTATTATTGTTATATGGCTGGCAAAGCAATCTATTAAATGACAATTTATTAATGATTTGTTGCCTTTCCGCAGCCTTCAAAGAGAACAATAATTATTATGATTCAATCTATCGTCCAATCATTCGCCTACGTATGTATACCTATCGTTTTTAATTTCAAAAACAATGACCAATGTGCTTCAAACAGAGTTATTCTGAGCAATCATCTATTGTATACTCAATTTTTATCGGTTTTCAAATTAAAGTTTAAAAACAAAGCGTGATGGATTCCTGAATATTTTTGAAAAGTGGTTACCTATCATAAGTTTCAACAACGAACGTAAACTTGGGAAAGTTTTTATCAAAAATGTTATTATTAGTTTTTACCTATATTTTGTATTTTATTTAAAAAAAATAACATACCTTGTATGCTTGAATGTATAGAATTATAATATGCATAGTTTTTCATGTTTTGAAGTTTTTAAAGGATATTTTCTAACTTAAATTTGAATGTGTATAATATATGTATATGTAGGCGTATTATGTATTTTTCAGTGAATTAAATGAATAATATAAAACTTATGACTTAAGTAGAAGTTATTAGTTACAGATCAACTCATCGGATAATTTGGTATTCAAACTTCAAATATAAGCTGTATAATTACAATTGTATTTGATAATTAATTGAAATAATTTCCTTAACGCATCTATAATTTGGGATTACATTGAAAGTGTATTAATAAAGTTCATAATAATTATTTATAATTGAGTAATAACAAATGTTACATAAATAATTAGTGCACATATTAAAAAAATTACGAATTATTTAAATACGAAAATCTATTCTGCAATCATACATACTTCTTATTAATTTGATGGATTTAATTCTTTCACATCGCTTTTTGATATAATTGTGAATAATATTTTTACGTTTTAACATTCTACTTTATAATAGGTAACTATAGAGTTTTTCTTTATTTGCAGTGTTATAATAGGTATTTCGATTTATCGTAACTCGTAGGTACGCTACTTACTTACTGCATTGTATACTGTATACGATATATTTATCAAAAATGTGAAGTTAAATTAATGTATTGTAAATGTTAAACTGAATTTATTCTCTATGAATTTAAGTCACAGCAGTGATACAACTACGTTTTTAACAAGCACTACACTGACGATCGAAATGCTGTTTAACCACATTTGTTTTCAACGCTTCACAACGTTCCAGTGAAAAGTAAAATATCTTTCTGAATGATGATTATTGAATTCTATACGTTATCGATACTCCCAGTTATCTGTCATAATTAAATACATAAACACGATATTATTACACATTAACATCGAATATTATATAAATACATTATTCATTTTTTTTCGAACTCTGATAGATTTAACAATCAAATATACTTTATCTATAAATAGTACGGTTCCTACGTATTTATATTGCTTTAAATATTTTCACACCTATCAACTTCTTTTGAAGCTAATATGGTCTTTGCGGCCTTTGGCATTATAAGAGGTCAGTCGAGCTCTCAAACTTAAAAAAAATCCAAATATTCCAGTCCAATGCCTAAGTAAAATAATTAAATCTCGTGGTTCAAATAATACGCTCCATAACAATCTCTTCATTCAATTAATTTTAAAAAAACTTCTACACCCATATTCCAATTAGATCTATGTAACCACTGTAATCTTCTAATGATACCAGAATATGTTAAAATGGCAATGGGGTAGTAAGTCGTGACCTAATGAGATGATAAAAAATTATAGCACAACGTCATGAAGTTTTATCAGCGGATAAAGGAAGGAACCCTTCGACCAAGACATTTGTATACGTAAGACCAGTATCCATATAAAATTATATGTTGTATATATAAATATATAATACACTAATTGTAAAAATAAATATTTACAGATTGTGCTATCAATTATCATTACCAATCAAATACCTAATATAATATGTTCAACTATAAAAGTAACAGGAAATATTTCAAACCAATGACCTTGATTTTAATTCGAGTTTTTTGGTTACTACGAAATGACTTAATACACTTGTTATAAAAATTCAAATGTTTAAACTTTTTTTCCACATTTGCGCAGAAACCATTTTTTCACGTTTTTAGAATTGCAACTCCCAATTTTTTGAGTTCGAATTTAAATTAAATATGTATTTTTTTTTTGAGACCCCGATGAAGTTCCAAGAAATCACATGAAAAGAGATGAATGAAGTTAACGGATACCCACCTACCATTATTTAGTGCTGAATCATTTACAATGGCGCTATTATTCAATAGCACCATTTTCAAAATTAGTGCTCTGTCCGGTAAAAAGTTGCTACTATAACTTCACGTGATTGGTACAGTATCAGCACCAAAACTCCCCATAGCATCTACATTATGTGCTCATTATCAGTATAGTTATTAAAAGAGTGCTACATTTAATATGCCTGTGAAGTTTGGCGCTCGCAACAAAATGTTGCAAATGTGTAGCTAAAGAAAAAGACGTTTAATAACTTAAAGTTCGTTGCCAATTTATTGGACACCAATATTTTGGCAAGGTCGACATTTTATAAACTCTATGAAGCACTACTAACATAATTTTATTGATAAATAATTAGTAGTAACTAGTAAGCACTAATTGAGCACTTACCCAAACATGCTGCGAATGATCCAGTAATAATATGCTCTTTTTGCAATAAAAAACAAGCAAATTAAATTGACTATCATAAGACCTACATATTTTATAGATGAACACACTATATATAAGACATAAAACATGTTTTCCCTTAACTCGGTTATTGAAAGAAACTACGTTTTTTAAACATCGAGTTATAGCTTAATATATACAATGTGTCCCGCGAAGAAGTGACTGGCCGGCGTCATATTAGTCTCTTTACCTTAAGTTATGAAAAAAAAACCCTCTATAAAAGGTGGGCCCAACTTATATTTTTTTAGCTATGGGCAATTCAGCTTTTTTGACAAACTGAACTGATTTGCTGATGTATCTTCAAGACTTTTCAAAACTTTTCAAATTTATTTCTTTTTTTATTAGAAATAAGACTTGGCAGCAATGACCATTGGCTGACATTTGACATTATTATAATTTTTTATTTTTCACATAATTTTAGTAATTTTTATTTAAGATAAGTGCAATATTTTGTTGTATAGTAATAGTTAACAATAAATGTTCAATTTTTATTTCTTTAATGAAGTTTTGTGTCTGCGGAATGGTTGATTCGTTCAGACCTAGGGACTGATAGAGAAACTCTAGAATGTTGTATTTGGTTCTAGCAGCTTCTGCAGTTTGTCTGCATTCGACGAAGATATACTTCATTGTTAGATGGACTCTAAATGTTGCATACTTAGTTTGTTCTTCTTTGTTTATTAGATAAAAATATGTGTAGCCAGAGTGTCATATCCTTAGACCTCTTAATCATACTTCTTTTCTATTTAGTTTGGCTATGTTTTCCAACGTTCTGTTGTATGTTTTTTTCTCTGAGTTTGGTTTCTTTTTCTCTTCATTTGAGTGACCATGACAAATTTTTTTTTATAACTTTAAATAGGTGGAATTCTGTAGAATAATAAAATAAAAATAAAAACTGCATTAAATACGGCGTTATCTGGAGTTACCACAATTTTCTTTTAAAAATGATAATTTTAATTA